ATCCTATCAACCAGCGGGTTAGGAAGGTAGGAACGGAAGGTGGACGATTACACAAGGGGAAAGGCAGTCACAGTTGCTTTCAGTCAAACAGGAGCGGTACCTTCGGCGATGATGATCAGTGTGATAACGGTAAAACTACTGCTACTGAAGTTTTCGTTCCGGAACAGACATGTCGCCAACGATCCGCTTACATAAAGATGTTTAACGTCTTCATTACAATACCGAACACGATTTCTTGTGTCGCGCATATTTTGTTTGTTTTGTGTATTCAGAACGTGGAAAGTCTGGACTCTGACTGTGCAACGATAAGGCACTGGTATAAAAATAATAGATAAGGCTACCGGAAGGATATTGGTGGGCGGACCTTGTCAGCTTCGCGACATTTTTTTACTATTCAGGCCTTTGAATTTATTCTAGTACTATCTTCACGTATACATACAAAATGTACGTGAAAACAGTGCAAGCAACGACTCCTCAACAGCGCAGGCTCATCCGGATCTTTAGCCTAACATTAATTAATTAATGCCTCCTCTGTCGTTCTGAGACGTTTTTCTATGATAGTTGTCCTGTCAGCATACAACGTACTCAGACAGAGACGTACAAGATCAAACTGTCATACTCTTTTTCTGATTTTAGTATCAGCATATGACGTTAGTGGCCACCATAGCAGTCCAGCCAAAAAGATTCAGACTGATCATTACAAACGCATAAACAAGAACGGATTATTACAAACACTATTCCGTTATAATTGTTTACTCAAGACTTCCACATCCTTGGACCACCTTGAGACGACTACGGTTTTGGGCCTACTTGAAGTCTTGGGCCACAATTAACATCCATACTGTCAATACGACCAACATCTTTAACACGATATAATCGACTGATTATTAGCTTTGCCCCTTTGCCGCTCTGAGTTATAATTCATTGAGCTGCTATACGGTCGGCGCATCGTATTTCAATAATTCAATCGGTTTTTATTTTTCAAACCCAACACTCAGATTGATTCCAAAGCGTCTTTACGATCGATCTCACAAAAGGCTTTCGTTTGCCTTCTATTATTCTGTTGCGCTGAAGTGTAGCGTCGTTATATCCCCATTTGTGCAGTGACATCAATTTGATCACTGCAGAAGAAACGCTTCTTGACTATCGGACCCTAGACCGTAGCCATAGATTGATTGTATTATACAGGACGCATTGCATAGAGCGATGTACCCATACGATCCCTTGCATTCGTCCCCAGCTGACTGTGTCTGTGTGTGGCTTTGTGCTCATTGGTTCGTCAGGAGGTTGGACACTTCGTTGGACGCTCTTAAACTACGGATCTTAACGCGCCGAGCAGCAGCGGCCATATTAAACATTCGGTACTGATTCGCGACAGGGACCTGATAGGGCTAACATCGATGCCAGCCCCAGCGCGTAACGTGCTGGACTTGTCTCCATCGTGGCAGCAGCAATAACTTCAGCCGCCGCATATCTGCTACGGCATTTTCAGCAGAACACAAGATGCTGACTGTATGCTTTTGCCAATAAAGTGTGCCAAAGGTCGCGGCCTATGTCTTCCCGGCGAGCCGAGCAAATAACTGCTTCGAAAAGCGCGAGAGAAAACAGACCGAAACGCCACTTGTGAGCTAGAAAAAAAAAAAAGAAGTAAAGAAAAAGTAAAAGTTCGGTGACGATTTCGGAGGGAACGATACTGTTGGCGATGGTGACAGTATTGAGGGCTACGTTAAACATGACGAAAATATTAATCAGTAAAAGGAGAACTGCAGTCTCGTGGAGAGGGCAGCACCACAAGGGAGCGAGCGTTAGAAGGACAGAGTATCGATACTAGTCATGCGGGTTATATTCACAGAAAAGAGCTAGCAGAATATGCTACCAATAACAAATGCAGTAATTCTGGCATACATCAGTTGCCGCCGATTAACGATAGTGGTAGGCGCGCGCGTTAATTCAAAATTGGCTAATACCGTTTCTTTTTTATCGTGATACCGCCAATGGCATTGCTTGTTGCCGACCCCCTGTCGGCGAAATACTGGCAGAGATAAAAATGACGGTTATCAAAATGGTCGACGATAAGTAAAGATGCCAAGAGTAATTGACTTTGCTGTTTTTAATCTATTTAAGTTACCTGCAAGTTCTCTCTGTCGAAGTATATGTTAACGTACAGAATCGCTGTATAGTAACAGATATGATATTTTCAATTCTATGATTTCTTCAATTATTGTAGTAAATTATTGGGGCAGATTAGAGAAACATGGTTCATCATAAACTACGTTGGAGTGTCTATCTTTTTTTAATGAACTTATATCATTTGCATTGTCATAAATCGAGCATGTAATAATCAGCCAACAAGATACTTATGACAGTATATGCTTTTCAGTCACAATTTCTAGTATCTACAACGCAGGAATCGTTCTAACGTAGACATACTTTATAATCTAACAATGTTTCAAAGGTCAGCAAGCAGTTTGTGCGGTTCGGCCACTCGCCTCAAATGCTGGAAATTTCAGCTTTTTTTTTGTCACTCTTTCAATAATAATAACATTATATTAAAATAAACGTTTCGTTTTATAAAATCGAAAGTAAACGAAAGATTCGTATTATAATAGACTACATCAGGTAAAAGCTTCTCCTCATTGTAAGCACAGGCTAGCCTACCCGGAATGAAACGCATCCAAGTGTCGTGTAAAAACATCATTCATGTCAATGCCATGAACCGTGAGAATTTCTTATTTCTAACATATTACCTAATATTGGATTTTTAAGTGATACATTGTTGACTAGTGCCAGTGTCCTGCGCAGTTACAATAGATCTGCCGGTCAACTAACCTAAACGAGTCGTTCTCATATATATGATA